AATTAGGAGTAAACGAGTATATAATTTTATGTATTATACTTAGAATCTTAATAAAGTACTGGCGAAACTGCCTAAGTTAAAAAAAAAAAAAAAAAAAAAAAAAAACATTACATGATATAGTATATATCCAGATATAAATCTGGATAGGGATATCCACAACAACAATAGAATTGATTTTCTGCTCATGTAATTTTCTGATAACAGTTAGCCAATTAGAAACCAAGATCAGGTGTAATATATGCTTATCACGAAATATAAACTAGTAAATCAACTTTTTGGTTCTAACAAAAAATTTTTTTCTTGCAAAATTTTACTATAATATAACTTTTAAACCCAAACCTAACCTAAACCATTAGATAAACTATTAAGAATAGTATATAAAAAAGGTGAGAATTTAACTATCTAAGTAATTAGAAAGAGTCGAAGTCTAAGGTAAAATAAGGCAAAATCAGAGGCCTTATATATATGATTAAAGCTACAATCTACAAGGTTAAGTATTATTTTATTTCAAATCTACAATATTATTAACTCATTCTCTAATGATCTTTTCTTACTACTTGTATGTGGGGATGGGTTTGGTCGACTATGATTGGTTATCGACTCTTAGCTAGTTAGCCGATTGGCTAGAATGGCTAATAGTCGACTATAGCCGATCAATGATTTAATTAATTATTTAATAATAATCAATATAAATAGACTCTAAGAGTATATAAATGCACTCTAAAAGTATATAAATTTATATACGAGCTGATGGGTATTAGATTTTGATCTTTATCAAAACAAGTCTAATTCTGGTCAAATTTGCAGATTATTTAGCTAGAAAATCCTGGGAAATGATCTGCAAATTTGACTAAAATTAGATTGTTGACAAAGATCGACATTATTTTCAAAGTGTATACAGTTGATACTGTACTGTCTAATTGCATATACTCTCTAAATGTATAAAAAATTTGACTTTTAATTATTAACGCAAAAATGGTTCTTACAACTTAAATGTACATATTGTCTATATGCATAAAAAAGTCTCTGATGGACTGTATGTTTACATGGGTGCCGAAATTGTTTTTGGCTCGCTGAAAATAAAAATTGCTAAAAATATTTTCAGCACCTAAACCGTAAATATTTTCGGATATCGAAAATATTTTCGGGTGCCAAAAATATTTTCAGATGCTAAAATATTTTTGGATGCCGAAAACATTTTCGGGTGCCAAAAACATTTTCGGCATCCAAAAATTTTCAATACCAAGAATATTTTCTAATATCAAAATATTGTAAATATTTTTTGGTTCCAAATATTAAAGTACTCTTGAGAAGTTCTACCTGGCTTTAAACTATCTATTAATGTTAATTGAAATACATGAATATTTAATTTATACATCCCATTATTAAAACACAAAAAGATAATTTTATTTATTTATAAATGTATATTTAAAAATAATGCAACTAAAATATAAATATAATAACATATAGTTTTTGAATATGGTATAGCTAATAATATATAGTCACTATATATGAAACAACCAAGTTTCATATGATAAATAATAAAAATTATTCAAATAAATTTTATATGAAGCTCTTATTTCATATTACTTATAGCTGCATTGATAACTTCATTTATATCATAATCTGCTGCTTCTTCTTCAGTTTCAATATTACTATTAATATTCACTTCACTCACTTGTTCTTCTAAAAAGGCATTAAAATTAATTATTTCACTAATCTCCAAATTTTCACAATCAAATTGTCTAATTTCATCTAAATTATCTTCATTAGAAATATAATCTTCATCAAATTCTTCACTAGTAAACATATCATCATTATATTCAACTAAATTCGAATAATCTTCCATTATTTGCTCAAATTCTACTTCTAAAGCAACATAATTTAGCTCATTTTGAGTATTAGTTAGATAATATGTATGTAATTTCGCGATATTGGAAACTTTTTCTACAGTTAATCTATATATAAATTAGATATATATTTAATTATAGAATTTGTATTACTTTACCTACAATCACTTTATTATAAATTAAACTAATTTAATTACCTGCTTCTTCATTTTTGAGTAATCCAACTTAATACTGAAAATATACGTTCACAACTTGCACTATGGGGTGTAACCGCTAATAAATACAGAGCAAGTTTTTGCAAATAATGATTTTCTAATTTACAGCCATTCTACCAGGTTTGTGGTGATTCAATTTCTTCCATAAAAGTAAAATTATATGGGGTTCATATACATCATACTTTTTAATTTGTGCTACTAAAGTATTTGCACTTTCTATCCCTCCCTTACTAATTTTTTTCCATATTTCAAGCGCAGTATATAATATTTGATGAAACAAAGAATTTTTTATACCTTTTTCTTGATACTTTTGGTAAAGAAAATATGCTAAAAGATAAGTTTTTATATCAAACTCTTTCCATCGTTTGTTATAAAACTGAATACATTGCTTAATAAATTCAACATGTTCTAACAAATTATTTTTTTTAAGAGTATTAATAGTAGCAGCCATTTGAACAAGAAATAAAAAAACATTAGCAGTTGTTGTAGACTTTGATTCAATTATTTTAATAGCATTTTTGGCAGGTAATAATATTTTTGCTAAAACTTCTATGTTTGCCCAAAATTGCTGATTTCACGCAAGATCTCTTAATTCTGGTGTTAAAGCTATACTATCATCTTCTAAAATCTAATTATAAATTCATATAATTAAAACTTGTTAATAAAGTAACAAGATGATTATTATTACAAGATCAGATAGTTTTATATTAAAGTAGTTGGCAAGCTAGCAAGGCAAGCATTTTTTTAGCTCACCAAATAGTAGCAAGACTCTCACTAGTATTGTCTTGCTAAGCTTACTAGCTTTCTCGCCAGCTTGCTAACTACTCTATTTTATATTCAATTTGTTATTTAAAGTTATCTAATTAAATAATAATAAATATATATTTATTGATATGCATACCTGTTTAATACAAATTTCTGTATTAAGAACTGATTTTATGCAATCATATGCAAATGACCAGTGTGAACAAACAGAACTTTTTAATCCATCTTTATTTATTATTAAGTGAGTTATTTCATTATGTAAGATTGCTCCAGAATGATGAGATGTATGAAAATATGTTATAAATGATTGACATTGTTGTAATACTTTTTTTCCAAATAAAGTTTTACAAATAATATTATTGCAAATCAACTGGATATGATGTGCAATACATCTAACAGGTAGGATTGCTGAATATTTATTTGAAATATATTGTTTAGCAAGTATCATAGCTGAAGCAGCATCAGATACAATAGCTCCAAATTTATCTACACCAATATCTGTTAAAACTTTTTCAATTTCATTAGCAGTAAAAATTGCAGTATGTGATTCACTAAAAAAATCTTTAATTGAATGTACATATTGTTTTTTGTTAGCAGTTATAATTACAAATGCAAAATAAGAGCAATCACAATTGCTTGTCCATCCATCTAAAGCTAATAATAATAAATTTATTTAGTAAGAAATATACAATTTTTATATATTTATTTATTAATATTACCTAATGTAAGATTTTTTTCATTTTGAAGTTCTTTTTGCATAGCAACTGTAACTCTTACTGTTTCATAATTGAGCCAATTATTGCTCAAAGCTTTTCGATTGGGTGGTTTGTATGATATGCTTAAATTTTTACAAAAATCTAAAAAAAATGGATGCTCAACAATCCAAAAAGGAATTTTACAACATACAAAAAATCGAGTTAATGCTTTGTGACATAATTCTTCTTGTCCGGGATCCATTGTATTTATAATTTGAAATTTATTATTAATTTGTAGTTATATACCAGTAATAATATCTAATGCTGCTTTAGTTTTTTTTTTTTTTACTTGGTATAGGAAATTTTTGTAAAAGTTCTTGCCTAATATTAGGTAGAACTTTTTTACAATTTAAAACCAAATGTGTGTTCATGTTTATATCAGATACACGTAGGTTTTGTTCTTTACAATATAGACATTCCCAACCTTTGTGACCATCTTTATGCAGATTAATTTCTTTAAAATGATTATCCCAAAGTATATTTTTTGGACAGTCTCTTTTTTTTTGAGTTTTACTAGTTTGTGTATTAAGATCAGAATGTTCAGCAACTTCTAATATTGAATCATCAGAATCTTCCATTATTAACTTGTATGAATAATTTGATATATAATTTTTTTTTTATTTTTTATTTTTTGTTTTAAGGGAAGGTACTTGAAGATGGCAAAAAAAAAAAACTAATTTATATAAA